CAATCGCGCCGGATCTGGCACACGGCGGTGGGTCATATGGGGACGATCGTCGACGGGCAGCGTGAGGTTATTTGAAATGTCCATGGGACCCTATAGGCATTCGTGAGGAGGTCGAGCCCCATCCCGACTCGCCGAGCCCAGAGCACCCGACGGGTGAACGACTAGAGATGTTTACTCGAGTAAAATTTACATCGCTAATTTTTACTCGATTGGTCGAGGTTCTTAGCCGAGTAAGTACGAGGAATCCTCTTTAAACGTCGAGTAAATTGAATATCTTTACATTTGGAGGTTTGCCACCAAATCAATTAAACAGCTGAATATCTTGAAAAGGGATCGTATATAAGTCGGCGCTCGTGATTTTTTCGCGATTTATGACTATATGAATGTTGATGAGAGTTCGAGTCAATCACTCGATGACACTCGAGAGCATCTTCTGGCAAATCTCTCACAATAAGATTGAGATTTTTTGTTCAAAGTGAACGAGTAATTGAGCTTTACAGCTTTTCAAATCAAAAACCACCCAAAATACTGATTTTAAGTAGCTAAACTAGCCAAAATTCGGACAAAAAAGAATGTGCAGAGGTGTTCTCTGTAGGGGGCCACAATCGCGCGCGATCTGGCACAGGGCACTGGAGGATATGGAGGATGATCGGCAAGGCGAGGTTATTTGAAATGTCCATGGTGTGCGTTGGAAGACCATGGACACACTGGCGCGGAGGCGTCCGGATCCCCATCTCCGCGCCACGATTTCTCGAGTGAAGTGCGCGCGACGGCTCCACGACCGGACCGGTGCGGTTCACCCGCCCAACCGGCATAGGTGTTCTCTGTGGGGACACACAATCGCGTGCGATCTGGCACACGGCGCTGGATCATATGGGGGACGATTGTCCAGAGTCAGGGTGAGGCTATTTGAAATGTCCAGGGTTTTCTTTGGACAAGGTTTTTAAACCGGAGGGCTACGTGAGGAGGTTGAGCTCCCATCCCCACACGATGACGCGCCGAGCCCAGGGCACCCGACGGCCAGGGGCTAGAGTGTTTTTCCTCCGAGTAAGCAATCACTCGAGTAAAATTTGGGTAATTTTTACTCGATTGATCAGGCAAGGCGACGTTATTTGAAATGTCCATCGTTTCGATTGGAAAACGATGGACATACCATCCCCACACCACGACCAGACCGAATGCAATGCACCCAGCTGATCCACGACCCACCCCGCGGAATCCACGAGGTCAGTCATCCGCCCACCACAAAGCGAGCGCCGCCTCCCCCGCAAACTCCGCCACTCCGCCTCGCCTCCGGGTGGGGAGGCGGAGTGGCACGATTTTTGGAAAGTCTCCGGAAGAAATAAACCCCCTGAGATTTAGGAATAGTATACGAGTGTTTAACTCCTCCATTCCACTCCACTGACTAGAATCATGCCAAGAAAAAGGGGCAACGGCCCTTCCCCCACCCGTCTGTAAGGCAAATTAGGGCACATCGGATAAAAAGTTTTGGTGAAAAGCAAAAATCCGAATTCTAACAATTCTAGAGTGAGATCCTGATAAAAGAAAAAACATAATTAAAATAAAATTGCTCTTGTCAATTTTGCGGAATAATCGCAAACTCTCGCACTCCATTCTCTGCAGTCCAACGACAGCCATGAAGAGCTCAACATGTTAAACCCAAAGGAAAACCAAGAAACCAGGCTGTCAAAACTGTTTTTGCTAATACCTTTTTATTGGTAATATCAAATTTCCCGTTGATGGAAGGATGGGATTAGCCAAAAACCGAGCAATTCTTCAATATTTTCGAGCAATTTTTCAATATTTTGTTTCGATTTTTATTTGAAAATCTGTAAATTTCAATTGCCGGTTCACTTTTCAATTGAGGATGATAATTTTCGTATCCTCAATCTCCTCAATAACCTAATGACTTAAAAGATGTGCACTTTGAACTCGCTAACGTAAACCTCTACGTAAACAAACTACGTAAGAAAACTACGTAAGCAAACTACGTAAAAAGAGCTACGTAAACAAACTACGTAAACAAACTACGTAAGAAAACTACGTAAACAAACTACGTAAACAAACTACGTACTACGTAAACACACCCTTTCTACCCGTGCTCAACTTTTGCATTTTATTTTGTTGTAAAAGTGAATTGAGTTTATGTGAAAGTTTGGGGTTTAAAAAATTACAGCAAAATTACAAAATTACATTTTAAAATACAGCTAAAAGAAGAAGAATTCTATGGAATATTTAGCTGAGAAAAAATTAGGAACACCCTGAAAATAGTATCCTCAATTTATAGTTTGTTCTCGTGTTTTCCTTTTCCCAAACGACCACTCGAGTAAATAACTCTCTACGAAAGGAAAAGAGCGAAAAAAATACAGAAAATCAATATCTTATCTCACAAATAGTTGAAATTGAGAAATCGGCGACTGGTTTTTAAATAGCAACATTAACAAATCCCGTATTTTCTCTAATAGTACTGCACCCCGCCGAGTTGACGACTATTTTATCGTTCCCAAGTTTTCCCAGAAGTTCAACACTCTAATCCCCCACTAGATCTCATCGTCAGCTACATTTTCCGACCCCACATCGATAGGTTCTGATAAGCGGTTCTCGAGATTTTGAGGAATTTAGACGACGTTCAGGGTGCACTACTATTAGAGAAGTGCCCTCTCCCCCTCCCTCCGGCCGAGCCGAGTTTGATGACTATTTTATCGTTCCCAAGTTTTCCCAGAAGTTCAACACTCAAATCCCCCACAAGATCTCATCGTCAGCTACATTTTCCGACCACACATCGATAGGTTCTGATAAGCGGTTCTCGAGATTTTGAGGAATTTAGACGACGCTCAGGGTGCACTACTATTAGAGAGCACTACGGTATTCAGCAAAAAACAGAAACAACTATTCAACCCGTTCTTTGTGCTTGCAAAGTGAAAACACATCTTTTCTCGTGCACTGCAATCATTTCTTTTCTCAAAACAACCTTTTCTTCATAATTTCGATGCAAGTTTCATTCTTTTTTTAGTTTCATTCCAAATTTACCAAAAAACCAAACAAATTTAGACGCTTTTAGACTTTTAGACGAATTTAGACGCTAGACCACGTTTCTTTTGCGTTTCTTTTACGAATACTAACGCGATTCAAATCATTCTCAATTTTCTAATCAATACCATTCACGGGTGAGAGCCATTCTGACTCATCCCGTTCTCTTTTCGGACCCCCACTCTTCCTCTTCCCCTACTAGTACAAATATTTGCATACTCTTCTTCTTTCTCGCGACCTCGTCTCATCACCAAAACAATCATTTTGACCTTACACTTGACCTGGGCATCTATTCCTAGTTATTTAGTCATTTTTCTATTTTATCCTAGAATCATAGCTGAAATTTGTACACCGATTTAATCATTGAAATTTGTACATCGATCGACAATGACAGTTCAAGCTTTCTAATTTAAAGGGATAGTCCAGCTTCATTGATATATTACTGGATCGTCTCTAAGAGCAACTGTTTCGTTGCGTGAGAATGAAAAGAATTACTCAATATCACGAGTGTTTCTAACGCATTTAAAGCACATATTAGATTAGATTTCAAGAAGTACTCTTGCCTAAAAGTTGTCTTTCAAGAATCGCGATCATTTATCTATTATTCGATCGCGTTTTAGTCGATGTATCAGTTCTACAACTGTCTTAGATGAATCCTAGATGAAAAACCAAGGTTTCGAATCGACAAATGAAGAAAAACGCAATTTTTGCTTTCCGCCTCACCTTAAAACGTGAATATCTGGCCAAAAAGTATATAAAGATTCGATCGAATTGCATTTTAGCACCAACATCCTTTTCTTTTGCATGTATTTTCTCAAATTTAACAGCAATCCTAAATGTTTTGTTGTTTTTTTTAATAGAAAACATTACATTCTAAAAGAATATTCTAAAGAATCGCAATTTTGGTTAATATTCGCAATTGTTTAGTTGTTTAGTTGTTTAGTTGTTTAGTTGCTTAGTTGTTTAGTTGCTTAGTTGTTTAGTTGCTTAGTTGTTTAGTTGTTTAGTTGTTTAGTTGTTTAGTTGTTTAGTTGTTTAGTTGTTTAGTTATTTAGTTGTTTAGTTATTTAGTTATTTAGTTATTTAGTTGTTGAGTTGTTTAGTTTAGTAATTTAGTAGTTGTTAGTGATTTTCCTTTCCCTTGCTATCTACATCTAGTGTCAGTCGATGCGGAAATGGACAACAAGCCAAAGTGTGCTAAAGCTAATGGCTAGGTTTTAGAAAGCGCTAATAGTAAATACGATCGAATCTATTGGGTTCGAATCTATTGGGTTCGAATCTATCGAAAACGAAATTTAGCGTATTTGCGTCAGATTTTTTCTTGCGCAACTGAGTCTTTTGCACAACTCGCTATCCCTTTCTTCCATAACTTTCTTCTAAATGGGCTAATCTTTATGATTTTTCTCTCATTTTATAGAGCTAAACAAGTGCAACAAAATGACAACAAAAATCATAAAGATTGACCGACTTAGAAGAAAGTTATGACTCATCTAGTTCATGACCATCTTCCTTCCGACTCTTTTGATCAATAACTCTCTTCTCAGTGGGCCAATCTTTCTGCTCTTTGTGCCATTTTGTAGAGCTAAACAAGTGCAACAAAATGACACCAAAATCATCAAGATTGGTGCACTGAGAAGAAAGTTATGCCGAGTTGCGTAAAAGGCGCAAAATTTGGCGCAAAGTAGTGAAGGATTTAGGTTTTAACCTATAAAACGCATGCACTTCTATAAGAATAGATGAAAATCGAAATAGAAATGATATTTTATGCACGAAATTCGTCTTTCCTTACTTTGTTTTTCATTGAAAACACTCGATTTTTCGATTTCCCCTTATCACTCGACTCGGTCATTAAATCTTGCATCGAATTTTCCTCTCAACACTCAAAACAATGTTTCTTTTTATGCTTTTTTTTATGGCTTTTACTATGAAATTCTGAAATCTTTAGTTTAATTTAAGTATATTTTTAGAAAATGTGGGCAATTTTACTCATTTCTTTTCTTTTTCAATCGTTCATTTTGGCGAAAGATGGGCCGATTGTTGAGACGAAATATGGATCGGTGAGGAAGAAAGAATTTTAGATGAAATTCATTCAAAACTATAGCTAGAATATGAGAAATTAGTCCCTAGATCGATTAAAATTCGTTTTGATTAAAAATAAAGCACTAAAAAAGAAGTCAATTTCTAGTTGCAAGGCTTAGAAGTGGCGGCAAAAGATGGCTCGATGGCGAACGTTTTTCTCGGAATTCGATACGCGAATGCGCCTGATAATATTTATCGATTTGAGGTGATTAGATGAAAATAGATCATGCAGATATGCAAAATATAACTATCGTATCACTTTTCTTAGTTTTGCTTTAGAAACCTCACATTGTCGACAATTGGGCCCCGATTTTACATCATGCAACCCGTTTCCGAGCCTCGTGCATCCCCGTTCATGAGTAGGTCGATCACTTGGATACTAGAAGCTTTGCTGATGCTGCAGAAAAAAGACTTTTGACGCAAAAAGCAAAAGAATTGGCGGCGAGAGGGGTCGAACCCGCGACCTCTCTCTTCCGTTCGGAAGGTCAACTTTGACACTAATTTTCTCTATGTTTTTATTAATAAGTATACAAAACAAATCCTACTTTTCTATAGCCAAATTTAATGAAGATTCCATTAAAAGCAACCCAAAGCTCAGTCAGCTTCTATACCTTGAGTTATAGACCATCCAAGTTGGTCAACTTTTGCAAGTAAGTAGTTCAACTTTGACTCAAATTTTCTCTATGTCCTTACACATGAGTATACAAGATAAATTGTACTTTTCTATAACCAAATTTCATAAGGATCATTTCAAAACCAACCCCAAGTCGATCTGACAATTGGAAGTCGAGTTATAGAGTGAAATAGAAAAGTAAACACATCTCATCCGGGGCACCACTCGCTCGCTACATAAGCTTTCTTGAAACCGCAGCGTTTCTATAAAAAGATTTTTGGAGTGGATTTCTATGAAATGTTCTTCAAATTGGGCTAGAAATATATTTGTGCACTAATTTAAAGAAGAAAGTTGATTTAATTGAAAACTTTCAGCGCTCACGTGAGAAACGATATCGACTTCAGTGAGGATTGTCTATTTTTGAACATCATGACGCCAGCAGAAAGGGTTTGGAGTTAAAAAGTTGTACTTAGAATTTGAAAAAAAACAAATGCCTACTGGAGTCTACTATTTGGAGTATTTGAACTACGATAAATTCAGTTTCTCTTTCATTTCAAATCTTTTAAACCTTTTAACCTGTAACTTTAGCTAAAGAATCTTATCATATATAAAAGGCAAGCGTCCGTCCGTTCGTCCGTCCGTCACACGCGATTTTCTCACGGATTCGTTTCCCGTTCGCTCCAAATTTTGTGCTTTAAATGTTTTTAAGATCTCGGTATAACTATGCGGCCTTGAATGCCAGCGCGTGGACAGGGAAAATTGGGAAAACTAGACAAAACTAGACATAGGAAAATTCCAACCCAAAGCAGAGAATGCCAATTTCTCTTTATAAACAAAATTTCAAAACAATTGACCAGGAGACGGCTGAGAAATTTGTCCGTTTGTCCGTCCATTTGACCGTCCGTTTGTCCGTCCGTTTGTCCGTCCGTTTGTCCGTCCATTTGTCCGTCCGTTTGTCCGTCCGTTTGTCCGTCCATTTGTCCGTCCGTTTGTCCATCCGTTTGTCCGTCCATTTGACCGTCCATTTGTCCGTCCATTTGTCCGTCCATTTGACCGTCCATTTGTCCGTCCATTTGTCCGTCCATTTGTCCGTCCGTTTGTCCGTCCGTTTGTCCGTCCATTTGTCCGTCCGTTTGTCCGTCCGTTTGTCCGTCCATTTGTCCGTCCATTCGATCGTCCATTTGTCCGTCCGTTTGTCCGTCCGTCACACGCGATTTTCACACGGATTCCGATTCCCGTTCGCTCCAAATGTTTTGCTTTAAATGTTTTTAAGATCTCGGTATAACTATACGGCCTTGAATGCCAGCTGGTGGAGACTAGACATAGGAAAATTCGAACCTAAAGCAGAGAATGCAAATTTCTCTTTATAAACAAAATTTCAAAACAATTGGCCAGGAGACGGCTGAGAAAACGAAGGTGGAATTAGGTTCGACTTAGAATTTTCTCATTTCTAGTGGAAACGGTTGTAAGGCGGGCTTTGAATGATAAACAATGACTGGCTACTGTCTGGTATCCTGTAATGAGTAAATGGACTTGAATTACTGTATCATTGCTAACGTTCGGCCAACAATCAGCCAATTTTCAGTCGGGCTCTCTTCCCGTTCTCGTTTTCATTCACGGTGGCGGCTACGAGGTCGGAAATGCGCACGAGTACGGCTATCAACGTCTGGTCGACCATTTTGTCACAAAGGGAATCGTCGTTGTCACTCTCCAATATCGACTTGGACCACTTGGTGGGAAAATGCTTTAAATAGTCAAAAGCAAAAAAGCATCATTAACTAATCAGTTGATTTTCTGAGAAGCTGAGCTTCATTGACTAGTCAGCTCATCAACTACTTACCGTATTTTCAGGTTTCTTTTCACTCGGCGATCAGAATGTTCCCGGAAATATGGGACTTTGGGATATGGCAACTGCTTTGGAATTTCTCCAAGATGTAAGTCAAGTCAAAGTCAAAGATTTAGCTCTCTGAAGTGCAAAAATACTTTAGTAAAAGGCGATTAGCTAAATAAATTATTTATTTTTCAGGTTTTGCCAGTTTTCGGAGGCGACAATGAGAGGATTACTGTATCCGGTCACTCGGCTGGATCAGCCGCCGCTTCTGCGCTCACCTTTTCACCACATGCTGACGGTCAGTTATCGTCCTTAAATAGCATGGATAATTCAGAAATTTGAATAGATTTTGAAATTTTAGTTTATTTCCATCAAACAATCGAGTTCTCTGGGTCGATGTTCGCTGAATTCGCTCTATCCGACTTGGTTGTTGAAGTAAGTTCGGTGAAGATCGATTGCATTGAAAAACAACGAGATTAACAGCAACTAACTGCTAGTTTAGTTTATAATAGTTTATAATTCGCGTTTTCCGCACATTCGAAGGTCCGTCCCTTTTTGTCAATGGCTGCGCACAGACAGACAGACGGACAGACAGACGAGCGAGCACCCTTGTCTCTAGCCCACACAACCCAGGTTCGACTCCTGCCCGTGTCGCCACTTTTGGTTTTTTTTGAAAATCTAAGACCCTGTTGCACAACGACATGGAATTCTGAGCCAAACTAACTATAAGTCATTTGAAACGGTTCACTGGGCGCGGAGTAGTGCCAACAGACAGGCAGACAGACGGACAGACGTCTCTTCTACTTCATTTATAGTAGATATACTCTATTTTATATTATGCTATACAATTATACTCGATGATCAAGCTTGAATCCAGTTTTATTGAATTTCAAAAGATTTACTCTATGAAGTAATGAATGGCAAAAAATTTCGGAACGATTGGGAATTGAACTCTCGACCTTCTGCTTACCGGGGTGATGCTTAGGCTTAGGCTGATGCTGCTTAGGCTGCTCTACCATCGAGCTATCGATGCCTTCTTTATCCAAGAAGAAATAGGGTAGACAAGGAAGAGAAAGAAAGGAAGAAAGAGAAGGAAGAGAAGGAAATAAGGGAAACAAGAAAAGCCAAAAATCTCGATTTTTTTCGAAACTTACTGATACATTACGCATTTTCAGAGCCTCTAAAATGTAAAAAACATTTTGACAATTTCTTAATGCTATAGGAATCCTACGAGCTAGCGAAAGTGGTTGGTTGTCGAAAAAATGATCACCGAGAGACGGCGAAAATCCTGGAGTGCATGAAGGAGAGAACGATACAAGAGATCCTTGATGGAGTCGAGAAGATTGTGAGCTAGTTATTCGAAAATTTGGATTCGAAATTCTTTCAGGGTGCAGCTCGCGAGCATCCGAATTTTCTGAAATTCCATCCGCGGATCGACGGGGAATTCTTCCCATATCCTCTCGAGCAAATGCTCAAATCGGCTCAGCCAAAACCAGTGCTTTCCGGCTTCACCGATACCGAATCGGGGATTTTCGGTGAGATTTTCGAAAATTTACAATTTTGAAGCTTAACGTAAAAACTCTGATCTAAAAAGTTTTCAGTTGAGGGTTTCGAAGGTTTCCCGGCATTCAACGGAGTGGCCATTCCAAAAGAGAAACGAGCTGATTACTCGGAGAAAGATCTTCACGAGTTTATCGCTCAAAAAGTGGCTACTGAACCGGAATATGGTAAGTAGAAGTGACAAAGGTTTCGCAAGGACACAGATATTCTAATATAAGCTCTATGCCCGTGTCAAGAAAGCGATTATCATCAATTTTCTTGAAGATTAACCATTTAGAAAGCTTTTGTTAGGAAACAGTGCACTGGTATTGTATCTTATTCATTTCAGTGTTCAAGTTTTTTCAAGTTACTACCGTATTCTCTCTAATAGTAGTGCGCACTACTATTTTTTGAACCCCCTCCTGGACCGCAATACTATTAGAGAGTGCAGTACTTTTAAAGAGTTTTATCATTTACCAAAGTAAGACAGATATACAGATAGACAGACAGCACTGGCATTCTATTTTGTTCAAGTTTCATTGTTTGTTTCAAGTTTGTTCAAATTAGTATCTGATAAACAAGGAAAATATTATAAGAATTTGTGATATTATTGTGAAAATCAGAAATATCATTGTGAAAAATAAAAATTAGAAAGGATTTGGCAAGTGAGGATTCGAACCCATCACTAAAACCTTGACCAGTTTTGTAAACCATCACACTATCCACTACACCATAAGTGCCGTTGTGAGAGCGGCATAAACCCGACTTAAGACTGGGCTCAGTTAGAAAAAATGCTTTTGAAGTTTGGACACTTTTTGGAAAAATGGGGCAGCCGTGGCATGACGCTGAATTACTTCCCTCTGAGCAGTGGCAGAGTGGTGTAGTGGATAGTGCGCTCGTTTCTCGAGCGAGTCCTTCCCCCTCTCTACCTGGTTCGAATGCCCGTACTGTCAAAATCTTTTTTTCTTTCTTGTTACAGCATTAAAACAAATTTTTAGGTGTTTTAAAGTGTCTATGTTTATAGAAAATAGTCTAAATAGGCAGCCTAGAAGCCTAGAAGCCTAGAAGCCTAGAAGCCTAGAAGCCTAGGAAGCCTAGGAAGCCTAGAAGCCTAGAAGCCTAGAAGCCTAGAAGCCTAGAAGCCTAGAAGCCTAGAAGCCTAGGAAGCCTAGAAGCCTAGAAGCCTAGAAGCCTAGAAGCCTAGAAAGCCTAGAAAGCCTAGGAAGTTTAGGAAGCCTAGGAAGCCTAGAAGCCTAGAAGCCTAGAAAATAGGCAAAATAGTCTAAATGAAAGCTAAACAGTCAGTGATTGAAAAACCGTATTGTTTGCAATCATTTTTAAAATGAAAAGTGATTTAGGCAGAAAAATGGGTCCTTTCGTCGAGCTACTTGACGAGTATTACATTCGACGAATGGCTCCTTCAAGCCCGAACAATCGCTTTTATATGCATCGGTACACAGAAGTAAGTGTTTTCAAATTGAGCTAGCTTTGAGCTAGTTTTCATAACGATGAAGATACTTGGGTCATTTTCAATTAAATCCATTTCTTTCAGCTACTCTCCGATCTGCAATTTGTCGTCCCAGCACTTCACGATCTCGAGTTGAGACGCTTGAATAATTGGCCGAGTTGGTTATACGTGATCACCTATCAATCATCTTTGGAAAGGAGACTGAATCGAACGATTGATGGTTTGTGTTTGAAATATTGGAACAGAACGGCTTTTAGAATGAGTTGTGATAGACATGGGCACTATAAACTACAAAAATGATGAGCTGTTACGCTAAAAACGCTTCTAACTTGCTTTATAACTGACGGATTGTGATGATCTATAGCTCAAAAAATAGAGAATCTCAAGAGCTTTCGAATGGATTAAAGCATATCCAAAAATATCAATGCTAACGAAAGTTACAGTGGTTTGTAGTCACTAACGCGTGGTCGAAGCGTTCAAGCTACAAACCACTGAAGCTTTCTTTAGCATTGAGATTTTTGGATGTGCTTTAGTCCATTCGAAAGCTCTTGAAATTCTCTTTCTTTTGAGTTATAGCTCGTGTCAATCCGGTAGATTTGTTGCAAGTTAGAAGCGTTTATAGTTCACGTTTATAGTTTACGTTTGTAGTTTGTCTCTTTTCAGGCGCTTGGCACGCAACCGAGTTGAAATATCTCTTTGACTTTATGGGAATCAAAGAGGATTTCTTCTCGGCTGAAGATCTCGAATTTCAGAAGAATTTTGTTGATTCCTTGGCGGCTTTCATCAAGAATGGGTAAGTGAAAATTGTTTTGCATTAGATTTCACTCGATTTTCTCAATTCGACACGTCAAGATTTTCTTGGCAAGTCAAGAAAGTCGATAATTTCTCATTTTCTAGAGACCCATCAACACCAGCTTTCAAATGGAACCCAGTCTCAAAGGATCAGCCGTGGACGTATGCCGAGTTTGGCTCGACTCCAAAAATGGTCAAGGTACTGATCGAAATCCCGAAATTCTTTCAACATTTACTAATTTCCTTTTCAGGAATACAACCAGGACACAATCGATTTCTGGCTGAATCGTGTGCCGAAAGCGATTGGGGCGCAGAATTTGCAGCGAAATCGTCTCCCCGGCGCGCATGCTCATCACGTTCACTCTAATGTTCACACCGAACTCTAATGCTCAATTTTTTTGAATTCGGGTTTACTCTTGTATATTTTGAAGGAATATTTCAAATTTAAATCATTATTTTATTTAAAATTTCCAAAATAATTTCCAGCACAATAAATTATTAGAATCTGGGATTTGGCGGATGGATTTGCGACCAGTAATGACTTTAAAATGAGCAAAAAAGCAAAAAGAGACAAAGAGACAAAAGTTTCATCAAAAATTAAAGCTATGCAATGATAGGGAAGAAATTTGGGAAAATGGAGATGGAAATGGAAATGGAAATAGAAATGGAAATAGAAATGGAAATAGAAATAGAAATGGAAATAGAAATGGAAATAGAAATAGAAATCGAATTTGTTACACAATGTTGATATCATTTTTCGCTACAGGACTTGCTGTTCGTGTGGATCGGCTGGGAATTTGATTTGACGAAGAATTTGGAGGGTTTGGTGGTTGAGGAATTGGTGGAATTGGTGGAATTGGTGGAGTTGGTGGAATTGGAGGAATTGTTGAACGAGTGACACGAGCTTGTGGAAATGAATGGGAAGAGGAGGGAAGGACCTCGATTTGGACAAGATCTGATAGACCGCCAAGTCCCTCGGATGAAGAGACGCCGGACGAACCGCCACGACCTGGAAAAGTCGAATTTTGACAAGAAAGTTGTAAAAATCCCTAGTTTACTGTAGCATAGACATTAGTATTAGTTTTAAGCTATCCCAGGCGTCTCAAATATCCAATCCTGGGCCTGTTAGTCAGGCCAGACCAAAATCTATTGCGAGTTGGGTCAATCAATCAATGGTTCATGATGGACAGATAGGGACAGGGGTGAATCAATAAACACCCCATTTAAAGTTCTCATCTGCCCATACCCAGAAACACTAAAAAGGTGCTTAAGGAAGGGACAAACCTGCCCTTTTACCCTACTCAAAGCAAGAATTCACCCCATACATCGAATATAAATTTCTTTTGGTGAAAATCAAAAATTCGAATTCTAACAATTCTAGTGTGAGATCCAGATAAAAGAAAAAACGTAATTAAAATAAAATTGCTCTTGCCAATTTTGCGGAATAATCGCGATCTCTCAGCAGTTCCAGAAGAGCTATGAAGAGTCAACAGGTTAACACCTGTTGCCCCTTTTTCTTGGTAGTTCTTGCCATTGGCTTGTGTCTAGTCGGTGGATTGGAATGGAGGGCTTAAACCTTAAAAAAACTTAAACTTAAACGTTTTCTACTCCTAAATCTCAGCGCGCTTGTTTCTTGTAGTCCCCCTTTCCCCAGAATTATGCCACTCCGCCTGGGGTGGTATGGGGGCGCAGGCTTTGCGGTGGGCGGGTGACCGGCCTTGTGGATTGCACGGGATCGGTCGTGGACCCATCGCACATCCGCGCGAAATAAGGCAAAAAAAAAAACGTTCTCTATCAGAATTTCACGTTTGAATATCCATTTGAAGCAGAAAATTGTGCTGAATCGAATGGTGAAGAAATTATCGAAATCCGTCTGACTCGATTTTTTTAAAACGCCTTTTATCGAAAAAAACACGCACTTTTACAATCAACTCGCTCGTCGCGACCAATTTTCGGTGGCTCGTTCTCAGCGTGGTCGAAAGATTGCGCCCTCAAAACCGATAACTTTTGTGTGGACGTGTGCAAAGATCATTTTGATACCAAAAAAATAAAAATTGATCAACTCTGCGAAGACTTGATGACTTGAAATGGATATTCAAACGTGAAATTCTGATAGAGAACACCATTTCGCGCAGATGTGCGTCGGGTTCCGTGCACTCAGCCGGTCGTGGTGTGTGGGGTTTCAGCCACAGCGTCAGCGTGCACCCATGGTAACCCAGCCAAAGAAAACCATGGACATTTCAAATAACGTCCCCCCGAGTGGCGAAGATCGTCCTCGACATCACCTAGCGCCATGTGCCAGATCGCGCGCGATTGCGGGCCCCTACAGAGAACACGGCTCATTGAGAACTCATTCTTTCTCGTCGGTATTTTGGCTATTTTGGCTACTCAGAATTCGGATTTTGCCTCGATTTTGATTTGAAAAGCTGTAAAGTTGAATTACCCGTTCACTTTGATCTCAAAATCTCAATCTTATTGTTAGGGATTTACCAGAAGATGCTCTCGAGTCCATGGAGTGTCGTCGATTCTCTTCTTTTTGCTCATCTCCTTTCTTTTCATTTGATGTTGATGGATTTTGTCTGAAATTTGTTTTTCCCAAAAAAAAGCAAAGTGTTCTACTTGTTATTTTCCTCTCTCCCACTAGCATAATCACTTTGATTGGGGAAAAGGAAACGTTTTGTCGACTGTGATTGAGTCGAACTCCCGCCAACATTCATATAGTCATGATTCGGGGTGTTTCGATTGCCTAAAGGATTACGGTAAATTTATAGCTTTATAATATAATTGTTTATTGATCCTAAATGTTATAAAAGTGTTATAAAATAAAATATGAAATGAGTTTAGTGATTTTCCTCAAATTTTTGCTCAGATTGAAGTGATTAAGCATTCTTTGACTACGAAAATTCTGGAGTACGATAGCTGAAAATGAAAATGAAAAAATGGAAAACAGAAAGAGTCTTAAAACTTGCTCGCCCGTTTATTTTCGTCTCTTTTTACTGCGAGAAAGTTCTTTATTACATTGGCGGGAATATAATGCGAATTTTTTCAACTCGAATTTTTATTTCAAAAAACAATAAATAAAGAGGATTAACAGATAAAGAGGATTCCTCCGTGTGTTCTCCAGAAAGGTATTCTCCATTTTTATTTAGGAAATCATGCCATCTTTTGCTCAATTCAATAATTTCATCTTCAAAGAACTGGGGACTTTTTGACTTTGGTGACCGTTGGAAAATCGTTGGTGACCGCATTTTCAAACGCCTGGGCTGATCGGAGATGAACTCCTTGAACAGCTGATCGGAGATGAACTCCTTGAATAGCTGATCGGAGATGAACTCCTTGAACAGCTGATCGGAGATGAACTCCTTGAACAGCTGATCGGAGATGAACTCCTTGAACAGCTGATCGGAGATGAACTCCTTGAACAGCTGATCCGAGATGAACTCCTTGAACAGCTGATCGGAGATGAACTCCTTGAATAGCTGATCGGAGATGAACTCCTTGAACAGCTGATCGGAGATGAACTCCTTGAATAGCTGATCGGAGATGAACTCTTTGAACAGCTGATCGGAGATGAACTACTTTAGAGGCCTGAATAAGTGGTAGTCTGATGGGGCCAAGTCAGGGCTGTATGGGGCGTGAGGTAGAAGTTTCCAGCCCATCTCTTCGATTTGTTGGAGGGTCATCTTTGCCGTGTGCGATTTTGCATTATCATGCAAAAACCGAACTTTTGAAGTGTCATGTCGAGATTTCAATAAAGCTTGATTCACTCTAACTGCTCACTGCTCTAACTGCTCACTGTAAAGTTCAGCTGTGACAGTTTTACCAGGTTTGAGCAGTTCAAAATAAACCAATCCACGATAGTTCCACCATACGCACAATATCAACTTCTTTGCACCCGGTTTTGACGAGTGGAAAGGTTTTGACGTGACAACCGGGGCTTGCTTTGGTGATAGCCATTGGTGCTTGCGCTTAGCGTTATCATATAATATCCACGTTTCATCAGAAGTAACAATTGATTTCCAAAAATCATACGCTTTTGATTTTTGAATCAAAATTGAACAAGTGTTCGGCAAAATCATACGGCAATTTTGCGATTGAGGGTCAGTTCATGTGGGACCCATTTTCCGCATCTGTTTCGCTATCCAATCAAATATAAATGCTCTTCAATGGTGCTATGATGAACATTGAACATTTCCGACAATTTCCGAGTGGTTCAAGTGGAGTCTTCTTCGATAATTTGCAAAAGTTGAGACTCATCCAGCTTTCGCGGACGTCCTTCGCGATGCTCATCTTCTAGGCTCTCGTTTCCAGCTCGAAATCGCTCAAACCATCCATAACATTGGCTTTCGCTAATACTACGTTCGCCATAGACCTTTGAAATAGAATTCTGCGATTCTCGGGCAGATTTTCCAAGCTTAAAGTCATAGAGTAAAGCAGCTCGAATAAGGAATTTTTGTTCCGTCATTTTTTGATAACAAATGTTTCGAATTTCGAATAATATTCTGATTGTGTAAGCAAACACACTCTGCTTCTCTGTTACGATCTCTTCTCTGTTACTATCTCTTCTTTGTTTCCTCTGTTTATCGGCCATTACTTTCCCAAGAGCATAAGTTAAAAATTCGCATTATTCCCCCGCCAACCTAATAGTAGCTTTTTAAGTCGTCTTTTCTTTTAGTTAGTATAATCGCTTTTAAAATAGTTCACGATAGTTCAAGCCCATCTTTTCGAAAGTAATTAAACGTAGAAAAAATATTAAAAGCTTCCCTCCACCATACCGATTATTGGGATTGCATACTCGCTGTCGGATAAAGATAAGGGGAAATGTGAATTGTGATTTGATGAGATCCATGAAGGAGAGCCAAGAGCCGAATCGGCTGTCATTGAATGAATGGGAGGACGATGGAGTGGGGAGAAGGCTGTGAATGAATTGTGAAAATGAGACGCTGACAAACACCCAAAAATATCTAACAAGGGAATGGTCTGAGCTCAAAGTCGGCTCAAAGTTCGGAATCGACTGGAAACACAGTGCATAACATGGAATCGGCAATGGCGAACAAAACGCCACAAAAATTAGCCGCTAATAGCCAAGGAAACGCGAGGAATCTGGCATGAAAAATCGGGATTCAAAACTGATTTCTTTTGATTCTATAAGGCTTTTGATTCTTTATAAGGCTTCTCTCGCTGCCGGGCGGAGATGAGCTCGTGGCCTAGTGGATAAGGCTTAGTTCTGGTGAAATAGCAATCGTTTTGCCCTCGGGTTCAATTCCACCCAGAAAATGCAAAATTTCTTTTTTATTTCTTTTGCTATTCTTGATAATATTTCGTTTTTAAAGTAAACTAAATTATAATAAAATGAAAGAAATTGAACATTTTTGCCTATAGGACGCTCTGCGATACAAGTTTTCAACCGGGAAAACGAGAGAATATATTAAAGTTACTTTCAATCACCAATAAACACTTTGGAGCAGATCAATTTCAGTAATTTTGTCAGTTTTCTTGGCGCTTTCAGTGGTTACATCGATGCACATCCGGGCAAAAAAAAGAAACAAAATATTTTACATGTGCGTGGAATTGAACCCAAGGGCAAAACGATCGCTGTTTCACAGAACTAAGTCTTTATCCACTAGGCCACGAGCTCATCTCTGCCCGACAGCGAGAAAAGCCTTATAAAGAATCAAAAGCCTTATAGAATCAAAAGAAATCAGTTTTGAATCCCGATTTTCCATCCCAGATTCCTCGCGTTTCCTTGGCTATTAGGCTATTTCTTGGCTAATTTTTGTGGCGTTTTGTTCGCCATTGCCGATTCTATTAGGTTGGAAAGAAAGTTCTCCGGAAAAAGTTTGCAGGTTGATTTCTCAAAAAGTAGGACCACCGTTCCGAAGACCTAAGCCCTTAACCACTAGGCCACAAATCTATGAATTCTTAAGAATACTCCCCAATCTATGAATTCTTACCAAATTTTTTGATATAGACTATATTTCAAAAAGGTTTATAACAAAAAAAATCAGAGATTTTTTCAGCTGAAGTTGCTTAGTCACTTTTTAAGTGACCAGCCTTTAGACGGGTTTTTCATTGGTTAATGAATAGGCAATGGATCTCATTTAAAGCCTCAAATGAAGTACTTGGAGTCAAGTGGACTCCAAGAAATTACTCGTAAAAAATGAGTGCAGCTTTCCCATAAAATTTTAGAGATTTTTGAAAAATGATTATTTTCCAGCTTAAAGGGGGGGTATTAATCGCGGCCGGGTGACGATAAAAAATTTTTTACGGCAACCACCTGTTTTTTTATTTTAATATCGCTGATTTTATTATAAAAAGAATAAAAATCACCCGGCTAGAGTGATTTGATGGGTTTACAAATTTTTGGAGATGCTGCAAGGCTTGGAGGAAAACAAGATCGTCACTCATCAGACACCTCAGCACAGTCTAGATCGATTGAGTTTTAGTTGCAGATAAATTTAAAAACAAAATAAAAAGCACAAAAAGTAATAAAAATAAATTGTTAATCTATAATTCTTCCTCTTGCTCACTTTCATCTTCGCTCAAGTACAGCAGTTCGGCTCAAGTACAGCAGTACAAATCGGCTTCCTATCTTATCAATTTCCAGCGCATCTTCACCAAAAGTGACTGGATCTCCTCCATCGTAGGACGTCTTCAGCGCTTTGATTGACACAATTAGATCTTTTTTCATTTGTGGTCGCTTATGGTTTTAGTTTTCTCAAATAGGTGCCTTTTAGCTGAGGTGTCTGATGAGTGACGATCTTGTTTTTCTCCAAGCCTTGCAGTGTCTCCAAAAATTTGTAAACCCATCAAATCACTCTAGCCGGGTGATTTTTATTCTTTTTATAATAAAATCAGCGATATTAAAATAAAAAAACAGGTGGTTGCCGTAAAAATTTTTTTATCTTCACCCGGCCGCGATTAATACCCCCCCTTTAAGCTGGAAAATAATCATTTTTCAAAAATCTCTAAAATTTTATGGGAAAGCTGCACTCATTTTTTACGAGTAATTTCTTGGAGTCCACTTGAATAGAGTAAAGAAGTAAAGAATTGACTTCAAACTTGAATAGAGTAAAAGTAAAGAATAGAACAAAATGCTCTTGAATTGGTGGATTCGTTTTTGAAGAAATTCCAGTCAAACTTTTTCTTTTTGAAGAAATTCCAGAACTTTCTTTCCAACCCTAATATGTTATCACTTTCTTTCCAATCGATCCCGGAACTTCGAGCTCAGACAATTCCCTTGTAAGTAGTATTTAAACGTACTCATCATCTCATTTTGTTGGCTTTCCCTTGTCGGCAATGGCGGGGGTACACGTCGACCCGGATGATCACCGTTTGATGAACTTGATGAACTCGAAGAGATTTTCTTTTTTGGAGTACTCGTTGAAGAGGATGATGACTTGCCTGCAAATTTTGTAAGCAATTTTCCCTACTGAATTCGCCTCTGAAACTCTGATGCTGGATTGTTTAGACCGACTTGTAGGCAGCAATGGTATCCCCTCAACGGGTTGTCCATTCACAATCAATGGCCCCTCATCTTCGTCATCGTCCTCGTCATCATCTCGTCTCTCATCATCATCATCATCGCAGATTGAGTGCGGAATTCCCTGGAAACCATTTGGCTTGTTTCTCTAATCTGTTTGTTTAGTCAATAATGTTTCTCTAATCCAAAAACGTTTACCTCTGTTGGTAGAACAACTGGAGCTGAAAGTGGGCGAGCTTTTCGTCTAGGCATCGTTGATCCATCGATCTCTCGTGGTGGAGCGGGGGCAAGATTGTCGAGATCGGTTTGTGATGAATCGGAGGTTTGGCTTTCGATCTGAAAGCCAAAAATATCATCTGTTTTCGAAATGCAAATTGAGAAACACAGTTCAGTTGTTAGACAAGGAAAAAGTTCGGGTTAAACTTCGGCTTCTTGAAAACGGAGTGAATTTTTGCTCAGGGTGACCTCTTTTTATCTGCCCTTCTAATAATGGGTCACTATGTAGACGTGGGCGCGAGTTGCTGAGCGTGATGAAACTGGTAAACATCTAGCAATGTTTACCAGTTTCATCCGAAAATTCGCAATTTTGATGGAATAACTTCTTTTAAATTGAAAATTTTTGCTAGCTCTTAGCTTTTTTAGAAACTAGGTGCAATTCTGCGTTTGCACATATGAAAATGATTTTCATTGGATGACAGAACAGTAACCACAACCATCCTAAACATTGAACGCCAACTATCCAGCTTTTCTGGCCAATCTGTTATCCAATGAAAATCATTTTTATATGTGCAAACACAGAATTGTATCTAGGCTTCTAAAAAAGCAAAGAGCTAGCAAAAATTTTCAATTTGAAAGAAGTTATTCCATCAAAATTGCGAATTTTCGGATGAAACTAGGAAATTGCTTTGCTTGATTGCATTTTGCTTGATTTAACGAAATCTGGACCCGCGCTCAGATCAAGCAAAGGTCAGATCAAGCAAAGAAGTCAGTCAGCAAAGAAGTCTAGAAGTCAGTCTACGATCTGACTTGACCTGAGCCAGGAGAGCAAGATTCTATGAATGGATCTCTAGGCTCCTAGAATCTCTAGGCTCCTCGAACCTCATTCATCGCTGCCGCAGCTCGATCCGACTCTTCCAACATCCATTGAAGATAGTCACAAATTGTCGAAAAAGACGGTCTTCTCTCGCGCACATCCTACAAATTCATGTCTTCATTTACTTCATCTTTCCTTCATCTTTCCTTCATCTTTCCTTCATCTTTCCCACCTGCCAACACCCCAGCATCACATTGTAGATCTCTTGCGGGCAATTGTGCGGTGACTCCATTCGATATCCCTCTTTCAAACGATCATACAAGTGATGCATTTGAATGGTTGGATACGGAGTGCCACCAAGGGTCATGATCTCCCACAAAAGGATGCCAAAGGACCAGCTAAAGTGTAGCCGAGTTTAGATTCCCATATTCTCTCACTTACACATCACTTTCTGTGGTGTACATGTGCTCTTCAAGCGCCTCAGGAGCCATCCATTTGATCGGCAATCGTCCGTTACCCTAAAGTAGAGTCGATTTTTGAATCATTTGAATCAGAATCAGCATCAGCATCAATTTGAATCAGCTTTCAGCTTTGAATCAGCTTTTAAATTAAAATAATTCTTTACCCGTTTCCTATAATAATCCTTTGAACTCGATGTGTTCCGTGAAAGTCCAAAATCCGAGATTTTCATCGCAAAATCCTCAGCGACAAGCACATTTCGAGCGGCAAGATCTCGGTGAATGATCTGAGAATAGTAAAAGGAGGAGTAAAAGGAGAATTTTCATAGAATCATTTGTGTCTCCTCATCATTCAGATCAAAAATTCACCTGTTTACTACTCAAAAAGAGCATCCCGTTGGAAACCTGATAGGCGAAATCGACGAGATGTCGCTGAGTGAGTGGATCGATCAAAATTCGCTCTCTTGGCTAAAGTTTTTGTCTTGACTTTAGAGCCAGAGCTTTTAGTAAAGTCTGTAATCAGTAATAAAGTCTGTAGGCCAGGCTAAGGCCAGGCTAAGGCCAGGCTAAGGCCAGGCTAAGGCCAGGCTAAGGCCAGGCTAAGGCCAGGCTAAGGCCAGGCTAAGGCCAGGCTAAGGCCAGGCTAAGGCCAGGCTAAGGCCAGGCTAAGGCCAGGCTAAGGCCAGGCTAAGGCCAGGCTAAGGCCAGGCTAAGGCCAGGCTAAGGCCAGGCTAAGGCCAGGCTAAGGCCAGGCTAAGGCCAGGCTAAGGCCAGGCTAAGGCCAGGCTAAGGCCAGGCTAAGGCCAGGCTAAGGCCAGGCTAAGGCCAGGCTAAGGCCAGGCTAAGGCCAGGCTAAGGCCAGGCTAAGGCCAGGCTAAGGCCAGGCTAAGGCCAGGCTAAGGCCAGGCTAAGGCCAGGCTAAGGCCAGGCTAAGGCCAGGCTAAGGCCAGGCTAAGGCCAGGCTAAGGCCAGGCTAAGGCCAGGCTAAGGCCAGGCTAAGGCCAGGCTAAGGCCAGGCTAAGGCCAGGCTAAGGCCAGGCTAAGGCCAGGCTAAGGCTAAATCTTCGCATTTTCACTCTAAAACTAAAACTAAACTTAAAACACGTATAACTTTTTATCCAAAGTCATTTGGCAAAAACGGAAAGCAAATTCGGAATTAGCGTGAAATTCTGCGTCGATAGGTCTATGGATTATCTCATTTGGTCACATTCTACCATTGCTTTTCCCTTGTAAACCAGGCCAGGCGAGGAGCTGAGTCTGTAGCAAATTCAAGAGCCCAAAAGCCTAGATTCGCCTCCTGGCCCTGCTTTTAGCACAATCACAACCCTAGTTTACTTGCTAATCCTATTTTCCTTTACTACCAAAATTTCTACCTTTCTTGGCTCTAGATAGTCGCCGGGGAAAGCGGTTGAATGTGGTGAAGTGGGCTCAGAGTCCTCGCGGGGTCGATGAGCTCGGAGGAAGTCTCTGGAAAAGAGCTTTTCTCGTAAATCAACTAGTACAAAAGGATTCTTCTTAAAGTTTTCAAAACAAAACCTTAAATTCCCATGCGGACACAACTCAAGCACCACCAACAATGGCCCGACTCCTGTGCAACAACCGAGCAATCGTAAAACGTTCTCCTTTCCCCGGGTGTAATCCATCTCATCAAGAGTCTAAAGAGATGATTTTGATCAAAATTTTAAATCAAATAAAATCGAAAAATCTAAAATCACCTTTAAGATCGTCATCTCCAAGACTAAATCCCTTAGCTCGCGCTCGTGCGCCGTCGATTTTAGACGTTTCACGGCAACTGGTTGATCAAAAGGAACTGGGTCCTGGAAATCGAGTAAATGCTTTTCTTGGATGATGAATAAGACAAGTTTTAGATAAATTGCTTACAATAGCCCCTTCTGGATAGTCTTCCTTTTTGACGGTGAGAATCGCGCGCCACACTTCGCCGAAAGCACCCTCGCCGAGTTGGTCAACGAGTTTGATTCTGGAAAAGATTGAAACATTTTTTAATTTAGCAATATTTACTACTGTCTATATCGTAAGCAAGCTCTAGAAAGATCTTTAACTATCTAGATCTATCTATTAAGAATAGCAAAGCTGGTAGAAGCTGGTCTTTTACGCCATTGAACACGAGCGAGAAACCGAGCGGTTTGACCGGAGGCGGATTCGAACCCTTGACCTCTGGCACTCGGTGCGAGTGTGCCAATCACTCGGCCATTACGCGCCGCGCTAGTCAGGTTAAGTTATAGGTTAGATGGTTAGCCAGGCCAGCAACACTCTGGCTCTAGGCGATAAAGCTCTGGCCTAGAGGTCCAGCTCCGGCCTAGAGGTCCAGCTCCGGCCTAGAGGTCCAGCTCCGGCCTAGAGGTCCAGCCCTGGCCTAGAGGTCCAGCTCTGGCCTAGAGGTCCGGTTCTGGCCTAGAGGTCCAGCTCTGGCCTAGAGGTCCAGCTCTGGCCTAGAGGTCCAGCTCTGGCCTAGAGGTCCAGCTCTGGCCTAGAGGTCCAGCTCTGCAGCACCGAGGCCAAAAGCATATCCAGGGCTTTGGTCTGGCCATGGACTGATCTGATCTTGAAATTTTGTTCCAAGACCAGACCAGTGCCTGAAGATACCTTTGGAAAACACTGGTTTCTTATATTTAAGTGTCTTTGCTATCTTGAGTGATCAATACCTGGATCGATCGATCTCCCATCCTGGGTCCTCCTCAATCTCGTACTCACAATTGATGGTGAGATCTGACGAGATATGCGATTGTCTTGTTCCACCTAATAAAGTAAATAAAGTCAAAAAATGAATCGGAACGAATCTTGAACCGAGGAGGAATCGAACCCCGACGTTCTGCTTACCAGGCTGATGCTTTACCACTGAGCTATCGGCGCCTTTTTGGGGAAGGAAGAAATACGAAAGACAAAGAAGCTACACTACCTCCAGCAGCTCTTTGATGCGGATTTTGATCGATGATTTGAATTTGATAGGTTGACGGTAGATCGGACCATCCGGTACGCGTTCCGCCATGATCCTTTTGACGAACAACAACCTGGATTACGGTATTTATGTACGCTAGATTTCCTGACTTTTTTCCTTCTCGGCAATAATTTCGTCGCTTCCTCCATTTTTTTTCGATTTATTTTCATGCAGAGGTAGTAAGTCAATAAAAGCACTGAAAATTCGGAATTCAGGTATTCGAATGAAAAAAAAACTCACTGCACAACAAAAACAGGAGGAAAATGAAGATCAGTGATAGGATGAGAATCGATAATGGGACGCCTTGAGATTGAGCCTGCAATTTCGATTTATTGGGGAAACAGCTGAAAAACCGTGATAGCTGGTTTTTCTGGTTAGGTGACGCATAGTCATCGTGACGCGGTCGGGAGCCCGCTTTTCTACAGCACAAACGAGCCGGGTTTGATTCCTGGCTGTGTTGTGAGTTTTGCTTTTTGAAAAACGAAATATGAGATGCACAACTATATAAAATTCTAAGGCTAACAAACTAAAAATCATGTAAATTGGCCCATGGGCAACCGAGAACAGACAGACGGACGGACGGACAAACGGACGGACAGAGAGGCAGACGGACAGACGGACGGACAGACAGACGTACCGACGGACAGACGGACGGACAGACGGACGGACAGACGGACAGACGGACAGACGGACGGACAGACAGACAGGCGGACAGGCGGACGGACAGACGGACCGACGGACGGACAGACGGACGGACAGACGAATAGACGGACGGACGGACGGACGGACAGACGGACGGACAGACGGACGGACAGATGGACAGACACTTCCCCTTTTATAAATATTAGATTGAAGATTTTCACCTTTCCAGTGGGTAGAGTCAAAGTGCGAAACTCATTAACGATGAGGCTTGCGTTGGCCATCGCCTGAAAGGGAAAATAGTAAGGGTGAAGGGTTACGGAAGGAAAATCCACAGAGTTTTGAGTCCTAGCTTATAAATTCAGTGATATGGTTAGGGTAAAAGATCCACTAGATTCTAGGGTACGTCAGAATTCTCGGGAATCGCTTCCAAAACTCTAGCTCAACCAAATTCAAAGGAATCTCTCTGTAAATTTTATAGGTAAATTTTGACTAGGCTTGCTGCAGCAGTGCTCAACATGAAGTCGATTGGAGCACGCACAATTCTTATATAGACTTTCAAAGTTGAGAGTCGCACTTTCGTTGGCCCGAAATGACTTTTTGGGATTGCAAATGCCACATTTTCCGCGAAACATCGCGATTTTTTTTAGAGTTTAGATGAGTAAATGTCTTTTAAAACACGACCTACCTACCTTAACGGGCTTAAAGTATCACTTCGGCATATGATAGCCTTGTTCTTTATGGGTAAATGAAAAAACTAGATCTAGCTCACTCAGTTCTTCATCGTCTAGGTCTAACCAGGGAACCTTCCCAAGTTACCCGCGAGTTACAATATGAGGTAGGTGCAAAAAGAAAGCCCTGAAAATGTACGTTCAGAAACCGTTTTCAAAAACCGCTAATCGGCAAAACGCACAAAGTTACAGCTATTTGAATTTCGAAAAAATGAAGGCTTTTCTCGAATTTCTGGCACACTGATTTTTGCCGGCGGAAAGGCTTTCGTTTCGCCCTCCCAAAAGTCGGCTCGTAGCCTAGTGGTTAGTGTGCCTGCGCTTGGAACTTTTTGATCTTGGTTCGGATCCGATAGTGGTCAAACTTTTTGCTTTTTTTGAAAAACATTAAAAAACCTTTTTTGATTATTAGCAGCCTTTTTCTTTAGCCCATAACAAGTTCCGTTCTCTTGTGTTCTTCCTCAAAAACTCGACTTTATTTCGTGCAAACCTTTCCCAAAGAGTTCCCGGTTATACACGCGTATATCCCTTGATCTTCTGATGTTGCATTCACCAATCGTAACGTTGATGAGTTTGCTGTGTTTGTGATGTAGGCTTTCTGAAAGAATTTTCAAAAAGAGTTTTCAAAAAGAGTTTTCAAATTTCAACAACTCACTGGATAATTATCCATGAGCACATAGGCGAACATCACCTCTCCAACGGTTTGATTTAAATAGAAATACTCTCCGTCAGTTTTCTCCATTTTCACCCAAACGATATGCGGAGTGAGATCAGAAATGACTTCACAAGTGAACGTGGCACTCCCTAGAAAAGGATTTCAACGGTAAAATGCAGCACAGAGGTCAAGCTCCATGTTTGAACTGGATGACCGTGAGCTACAGCTTCTGAGCTACAGCTTCTGAGCTACAGCTTCTGAGCTACAGCTTCTGAGCTACAGCTTCTGAGCTACAGCTTCTGAGCTACAGCTTCTGAGCTACAGCTTCTGAGCTACAGCTTCTGAGCTACAGCTTCTGAGCTACAGCTTCTGAGCTACAGCTTCTGAGCTACAGCTTCTGAGCTACAGCTTCTGAGCTACAGCTTCTGAGCTACAGCTTCTGAGCTACAGCTTCTGAGCTACAGCTTCTGAGCTACAGCTTCTGAGCTACAGCTTCTGAGCTACAGCTTCTGAGCTACAGCTTCTGAGCTACAGCTTCTGAGCTACAGCTTCTGAGCTACAGCTTCTGAGCTACAGCTTCTGAGCTACAGCTTCTGAGCTACAGCTTCTGAGCTACAGCTTCTGAGCTACAGCTTCTGAGCTACAGCTTCTGAGCTACAGCTTCTGAGCTACAGCTTCTGAGCTACAGCTTCTGAGCTACAGCTTCTGAGCTACAGCTTCTGAGCTACAGCTTCTGAGCTACAGCTTCTGAGCTACAGCTTCTGAGCTACAGCTTCTGAGCTACAGCTTCTGAGCTACAGCTTCTGAGCTACAGCTTCTGAGCTACAGCTTCTGAGCTACAGCTTCTGAGCTACAGCTTCTGAGCTACAGCTTCTGAGCTACAGCTTCTGAGCTACAGCTTCTGAGCTACAGCTTCTGAGCTACAGCCACTCCCTTCAGAGAGTCTAGCTCAACGAGAACTCAATGAATCCGTTTGAAATTTTTGGAGATGATTTTTGAGTATGTCTCCTATAGCCAAGCCAATCCTCTAACTGATTGGCGCTTCTAGAAGCTTTATATGACCTTACAAAGTTGAGAGGCGCAAAAAATCCAAAAAAATCCAATTTAAGGCTTTTGAGAGCCGTTTTTTGAAGTTATTTAATGAATATGATTACATTTAAGACGAAAAAAAGATTAAATAGATCGAAAAGATGAAACAGAAGATCAAAAACCACATCGAAATTCGATTTTTCTGTCGTCGAATTTGATTAAAATGCCTCTTGATTAGGGAGCTCACTCAAAAAAAAATTGAAAACAGACGAAAACACACTTTGGTCCACATTTCTCAAGAGTTTTTGCCCTCAAACTGCGTAGAGGATGTGGAATTTTATTCGTTAACATAAAAAAAGATAAATCTCAACGAGTTTTTGACAAGCTCACGCTCAAAAGCCCTAGAAATGAGTAGCGTGCCGAGCGAAACTCGGCTCTCAACTTCGGAAAGCCATATAATAAAAGTTGAAAGCTTGAATCGATTAGATAATGGGCACCGTTTTAGGAGAAATACTTAAGATTTATCTCCAGAAAAATCAGAACGATTGACCGAATTTTGGCCAATCTAGGCCTTCTGAAGTATGGGGGTTTAATTGTTGGCCACCCTGGATATTCTGTGGCATTTTATCAGATCAGATGGCAGATCTAATCAGTTGATCGTGGCCTGAATGCCCATTTCTGCTTCATGCAATTCTAGCTGCCCTCGAAAATCTATTAGCTTTTAGCTTTTTGACTCACCATTGACATTAACAGTCTGATTTCTGAGAACATTCGGCAGAATGACCGGCGCTGATCGTAGTCTTTCCACGACTTTCACCACGAATTCTCTCTCGATCGAGCCGAGATTATTTTGGATCTGAAATTGAGGCTTTGGATCTGAAATTAAGGCTTTGGACTTGAAATTGAGGCTTTGGATCTGAAATTAAAGCTTTGGACCAGAAATTGAGGCTTTGGATCTGAAATTAAGGCTTTGGACCAGAAATTGAGACTTTGGACTTGAAATTAAGGCTTTGGACCAGAAATTGAGACTTTGGATCTGAAATTAAGGCTTTGGACCAGAAATTGAGACTTTGGATCTGAAATTAAGGCTTTGGACCAGAAATTGAGACTTTGGATCTGAAATTAAGGCTTTGGACCAGAAATTGAGACTTTGGACTTGAAATTGAGGCTTTGGACTTGAAATTAAGGCTTTGGACCAGAAATTGAGACTTTGGATCTGAAATTAAGGCTTTGGACCAGAAATTGAGACTTTGGATCTGAAATTAAGGCTTTGGACCAGAAATTGAGACTTTGGACTTGAAATTGAGGCTTTGGACTTGAAATTAAGGCTCTGGACTTGAAATTGAGGCTTTGGACTTGAAATTAAGGCTTTTTCAGCTCAAAGAAACCATCTTATCTTGTCATAAAAGCTGAAAAACTCTACACTAATACCTAGTTCTCAAATTTCAAATTTAACCCTTGTAACCAGTGACATCTTAGCCACCCAGACCTTAGCACAATCTTGATTTACAAAAAGAACCTCTATGCAAAGCAATTAAAACATTTCAATGAAATTTCCCTTACCAAGCACTTGTAGAGTCCCGAATCCGAAGGCACTGAGTCCTCCAATTCTAGGGAATGATTTCTCAATCCATAAATGTAACCAGTCGCCCTGGGACTTCCTTGTACGATAACGGCCTCGTTTTTGTGCCAAACGTACTGAAATTTCAATAATATTATAGATTTCTAGTTTATTTACATGTAAGTTTGTCCCATTCGCCTTGCAATTCAATTTGATCGTCCGTCCAGCTGGTAGAGTGATCAATGGGAGGTGTTCGGTGACAACGAAATGTGGCGGCTCTGAGAGAAGCATTGAGAAATTAGAAAAGAGAATTGCTGAACCTTTTTTCTAATTAATCCGGTTTCTTTTTATGAAACCAACCTAGCGAACAAAGCATTAGCAATAGTAAAAAGCAGTAATTGAGGTGTTCTAGCTACCGTAACTCGAGCTTGATCTAGAACTCGATCTAGAGCTCGGGCTTGATCTAGAGCTCGGGCTTGATCTAGAGCTTGATCTAGATCTAGAGCTTGATCTAGAGCTCGAGCTATGGATTTCTGTAGCTAGCTAAGCTAGTCACGATAACCAAGATCTAACCGTTTAGGCTACGGTACAGGATGCGGGAGGATTACTGTACATTATTGGAATCGCCTCAGGACATCAATGTCATTTCAAACAACTATACTTACGAAAGATCTTCTTCCGTGAGTCAAAAATCACTTTGACAACAGAATTTGATCTTTTTCTGCAGAATGATGCTCGCAAGGCAGTCCAATATTACTAATTAATGTTTGTAAAGACTTTAGAACACTTAAAAATCAATTCTTATACCTTAATAAAAAAGCAAAAAAGTTTTGCCAGCCAGGGATTCGATTCGAGCCAGGGACAAAAAACAGAAATTCCAGCCCGACGCGCTACCACACTATCCACTAGGCCAACGCCGCTGACCGGCGGCTCGGCGTCAAGGCTTTAAGTAGGCTAGCTTGCTGTTTCACGAAAGTTTGAAGGCTTATGATAAGTAGGATTTGAAAGCGGTTTCGGGATGGCCTTAACCAGGGGGTGTTTGCATCTCGGAATCAAATCGCTTCTCAGACTCAAAAGGAAAAGAGACTCAGACTGTAACTTCAAAGGGTTCCCTTGTAAGTTACCTCTAGGAGAAGCCCCCTAGTGATTCCCAGGGACTTAGCGATTCCCAGCGACTTAGCGATCCCATAGTAACGCTAAGTCAGTGATTTAGCGGAAAATTTAAGTCAGTGTCCTAAAGTGGTGGCGAAATGCTGACTTAGTTAAGTCACCTCAGCTAGATCAGTGACGTAGCTAGGTCACTCTAAGTGATTGTCCTAAATTGGTGATAAGATGGTGACTTAAGCATTTTAAGACACTGACTTAGCTTAAGTCAGTGACTCAGTGAGTCAGTGACTTAGCGGCGGTGAAACTGGGCTTGGGTAGAGAGTGATTATGGCTTTTTGAGCTTTACCACTTTTCTGATAGGTAAATGACCAAAATAAGAGTTTAAATCGACTCTATTAGTAAATAGATATTAATCGCTTTATTAATATTAATATCTTTATTAATATTAATATCTTTATTAATATTAATATCTTTATTAATATTAATATCTTTATTAATATTAATATCTTTATTAATTAATAAATAAATAAAGTTGGTGTTGTGCTCACCTGCAGGAGTTGTCGTTTCTTTCGGCTTCACCGTCGTCACTTTCTTTCTCGGTTTTGGCGTTGTTTCAATTCTCGGGCTCTCTTCAATCAACTCCTCGCTACTCAATTCGGCCACTAAAGAAATTTAGTAGACAGAAATCTTCAATAATAGATTAGAATAGAATTCTAATAACATTTTTCTCTAGCCATTTCTCTCTTCTTGTGTATCTCAACGATTTTCTTTGCTCGAAACACTTTCTGCTCTCGATTTAAGGATGGCCATTCGTGAAGAAATTGTTGATAGATGCTCATTTCACCGGGTGGAATGAGCTGAGGAATCACGTGGGATACATCAAGATTTCCATTCTTTGAGAGCCAATCAAATAGACGAATTGGATCTAGAAAATCGAATTGGATTGTGTTTTACCTTTTATAATTTGAACAGTTGCATTCAGCGAGCTTTCATTCCATGCAAGAAAATCGTCGATTTTTTGTGAAGGAGTGGGCAGAGGAAGACCGATTGAAGAGGGTGGATGAGAGGGGAAATGGGGAGGTGGAGGAGATGAGGTCAAACGGAGACGCTCGTTCTGGAAACGGAAAAGGAAATCACATGCTTTGAAAATCGAAATGATAAAGTTTATTTCTAAATTTGTTCTCTAAAGAATGCCAGTTTCAAAACGATGTTTCAAAGCTAGTAAACGCTTCAAAACTAGCTTTGAAAGAGCTTCTGAAAGAGCTTCTGAGCTTCTGGAAGAGCTTCTGAGCTTCTGAAAGAGCTTCTAAGCTTCTGAAAGAGCTTCTGGGCTTCTGAAAGAGCTTCTGAGCTTCTGAAAGAGCTTCTAAGCTTCTGAAGGAGCTTCTGAGCTTCTGAAAACCAGTGCATCTGTTTCCGAATTTCATTGTAAAAGATAGATAGGATTATTGTAGTTATTGGCAAATTTTAGAGAAGAAGATATAGAATGTTCAATATTTATGAACTTTTGAGCACTCATCAACAAAAATATAACGTTAGAGAAGCTTAGATAGCAAGATCTTCTTGTCAAAAAGCTCAATTTCCCTTTTTTTGCGGGATTCTTTGCGTTTAGCTCTCTCTAAATTGATTTATGCGAAAAAATCGTCAAGAAAACGTCAAGAAACGTCAAGAAATTCGAATAAACTCGACTTTCTAGATTATTTTTACAGTTTACTAAGTTTTATTCGATTAGGCTCAGGCTTAGGCTTAGGCTTGGGCTTAGGCTTAGGCTCAGGCTTAGGCTTAGGCTTAGGCTTAGGCTTAGGCTTAGGCTTAGGCTCAGGATTAGGCTTAGGCTTAGGCTTGGGCTTAGGCTTAGGCTCAGGCTTAGGCTTAGGCTTAGGCTTAGGCTTAGGCTTAGGCTTAGGCTTAGGCTCAGGATTAGGCTTAGGCTTAGGCTTGGGCTTAGGCTTAGGGCTCAGGCTTAGGCTTAGGCTTAGGCTTAGGCTTAGGCTTAGGCTTAGGCTCAGGATTAGGCTTAGGCTTAGGCTTGGGCTTAGGCTTAGGCTCAGGCTTAGGCTTAGGCTTAGGCTTAGGCTTAGGCTTAGGCTCAGGATTAGGCTTAGGCTTAGGCTTGGGCTTAGGCTTAGGCTCAGGCTTAGGCTCAGGCTTAGGCTCAAGCTTAGGCTTGGGCTTAGGCTCAGGCCTAGGCTTGGGCTTAGACTATTGTGACTAAAGGGAAAATTCGGTTTTCTTTCACCTCAACCCAATCCAGTCGATCATCTACACTCAAAATACTCGAGTAATCCCAACTGAATCCTCCAGTAATTCCAAAAAATTGATTCATTTCACCAAAAGGAGTCAAATCCCAGTTGTTCTTATTTAACGATCAGAAAATCTTCATTATTTAACAGTTTTCGAATCTACTGGACATGTATTGGACATTAGAAATGTGTTAGAACCACATTTCAGTTTTGATTCTTTCCAGAAAGCTTCACAAAAGTTTGTGAAAAACTCAATTTATTCTAAAAATTCAATTTACTCAATTTACACTCAATTACCAAGACTTTTGGATCAACCTGCTAGCATTAAACTTTAAGCTAAAAGGCTAAAAATAAGCTCTAAATCTAGTGTACTGATTTTCGGCCTTTACTTTCAGCCTAAACAGCCTTTAGTTCTAAGTTCTGCTCATGCTTTTAGCTTTCAAAGCAAAAGCAAACATGCCTGATATTCTTGTTGTGCTTTCCGTACTCTTTTCGAGTATGGCTGACATTCGTCGGGTTTCGCTTCGATCGCCATATAGTCGATCGGTTTTCCCGGTGGTCGTTTCGTGTAAAACCAAACACAAACACATTCCAGGGGATATGACGAGAAATTACCGCCTTCATAATAAGCACACAAATCTGGAAAAGAGCTTTGGAGAGTGAGAGAAGTGAGAGATGTTAAACCTTTAACTTCTTTCCCATCAGACTATATAATAAAAAGTTGTGAGCGAGCTTTGGTGTGTTTACAATGCTACAAAAGCTTTGGTGTGTTTACGATGCTTATAAGCAGCTAGTTTTTACATCATTCGACTCGTCTTTCAAAGCTCTACATGATTTGCTATATGATATACTATAGATGCCATATGATATGCTATAGAATTTGTGATTCCTCCAACCGGTTCCTTGTCAGCTCCAACCGGTTCCTTGTCAGCTCCAACCGGTTCCTTGTCAGCTCCAACCGGTTCCTTGTCAGCTCCAACCGGTTCCTTGTCAGCTCCAACCGGTTCCTTGTCAGCTCCAACCGGTTCCTTGTCAGCTTCAACCGGTTCCTTGTTAGTTGGACACGCCGGTCCTTTTATGGGTTGAGACTGGGAATACAAAACATGATCGGCGCCAGAATTTCAACCCGCCACCTCTCACTTACCGGGCGAACGCTTTACCAATGAGCTACGGTTTACCAATGAGCTATGCTTTACCAATGAGCGATGCCCACTTATCTCATTTCCGCCAGGACTACGACCTTATGTCTTACTACTTTTCAAAGTGTACTTTGTGCTATTGTAAACGCGTTCTAGTATCTCAACTAATAGATTTTCCTGAGGAACAAGGAAAATAAGAGTTTAAGTGCGCCAGAAATAGTCTATGACTGAGCACAAAGTTCATTGAGCTTACAAGACTGAAAGATAATAGATAAAAGATAATAGAGAAAAGATAAAAGTAATAGAGATCCATTCCAAGAACGAGAATCCATTCACACATGCATTTATCAACCAAAAATGCATTCAAAAGTGCTTATCCAAGTGCATTCAAAAACCCCCCACTCACCTGCAATCTCAATCGTGAAATTTCTTGTGATCGATCCGTGCGGATTTGTGACATTGCACGCCCAGATTCCCTGAAAAATAAGACTTGGATAAGCTTTCACTTGGATAAGCTGTTTGTCAAGAATTAAAGAATCTACCCTAAAGTCTCGAGTATAAGTTGATCCGAGTACAAGTTCTGCCTTAATTTACATTCGCTTTAATTGCTTTGAATTTCTTTTTGTTGGGTTTTTATACATTTTTATTGTTATATAAACTTTTATTATTGTTCTTGGAGCGCGGGATACTACAGGGTGACAGCCTATTGCTATTTGTTGCTATCACCATTGCTATTTGTTATGTGCTACAGGGTAACAGCCTATCACCATTGCTATTTGTTATGTGCATGGATACATCCAGACGATAGTGTTGAAGAAGACGCTGGAAAGCATCTCTTTCGACCGTCGACGTGGACTTTGGCCGGATGAAGAGGCCAGGGAGGGCCATGAAGAGGCCAGGGAGGGCCATGAAGAGGCCAGGGAGGGCCATGAAGAGGTCAGGGAGGGCCATGAAGAGGTCAGGGAGGGCCATGAAGAGGTAGGGAGGGCCATGAAGAGGTAGGGAGGGCCATGAAGAGGTCAGGGAGGGCCATGAAGAGGTCAGGGAGGGCCATGAAGAGGTCAGGGAGGGCCATGAAGAGGTCAGGGAGGGCCATGAAGAGGTCAGGGAGGGCCATGAAGAGGTCAGGGAGGGATCCATAAGACTGAGCACCGGAGAGGAGCAGGACGGACGCGCCGAGCCACGCAACAAATAACAGCATAAAATTGCTATAACCCTCAATAAATTTACTTCTATTGTTGTTCTTAAAAAGCAAAAAAGTTATGCTGCAGCGGGGTTCGAGCCCTCAACACACCGCACCGAAGACAGCCGTCAATTTGCATGCGAAAACCAAACAGAACTTATACTCGCGACTTTAGGGTAATAAAACAAAACGGATGCACTAGAACGAATGTGTTTCCACGTTGAACGAATGTGTTTCCAAGTAAACCTCAAAAACTCACATGATCTCTCACTTCCAAATCCGATATTTCCAAAACAAATGGATGCGGTTTTCGTACTCTTTTCGATGAATACTCCGCTTCCGTGATCACTTCTCCGTTTCTCGTCCATTCGAGAGTCGAATAACGACTGTCGAACACGTGACAAGATAATTTTACCTGATAAAGCACTCTTCAATATTGAAAATCTTCAATTCTACAGGGTGACCACGAATTATGGCGATATCTTTTTCGAAAAGGTTGCTAACTGACCGACTTATTACTAAAGTATCAAGTGTTATATAGAGAATTGTAGCCCTGAATCTTGGCTACATTTATCTATTAAAAGTTTCCCGATTGGATTTATACAACTCATTTTACAAGCTTTTGAATGAGCTCAAGCCGGCTTCTCTCCAGGCTTCTCTCGGCCATTTTTGACACTTTTTGATTCAATATTCTCACCTAGAAAGGGATTTCTTCAATAAAACTTGTGATATTTTACTTTAAAAGTATCATTCAACAAAAATATAACGCTAGAGAAGCTTATACAGCAAGATCTTCTTGTCTTCTTCTTGATCTTCTTGTCGAAAAAGCTCAATTTTCTTTCAATTAACTAATCAACTCATTCAAGTGCTTGTAAAATGAGTTGTATAAATCCAATCGGGAAACTTTTAAGAGATAAAGATAGCCAAGATTCAGGGCTACAATTCTCTATAGAATACTTGATACTTTGAAATAAATAAAGCGTGCAAGAACTACTTTTCCAAAAAATGTTGTCGGATGGTTATGAGAAGCCGGCTTGAGCTCATTCAAGAGCTTGTAAAATGAGTTTTATATCTCCAATCGGAAAACTTTTAATAGATAAATATAGCCAAGATTCTGGGCTTTATTTTTCCATATAACACTTGACACTTTGGTAGTAGGTCAGACGTTTGCTTACAACTTTTTCAAAAAAAGATATCGGCATAAGTCGTATTCATTATTTTAGTACTATCCTTTTATACATCCCCGTTTGTACACCAAAGTTAGACTACGTTAGACTAGTTAGACTAGTTAGACAACAAGTTACACTACAGTTACACTGTAGGCTATACAGGGTTAGGCACGATGATGGAAACTCGGTTTTTCGACTGTAACTCGACGCCCAATTCTACGATTTCCCTAATTTCATATTTTTATGAAATTAGGGGAATCGCTATGACAGTTAGCCAGCTATGACAGTTAGCCAGCTATGACAGCTAGCCAGCTATGACAGCTAGCCAGCTATGACAGTTAGCCAGCTATGACAGCTAGCCAGCTATGCCAGCTATGACAGCTAGCCAGCTATGACAGCTATGACAGCTATGACAGCTATGCCAGCTATGACAGCTAGCCAGCTATGACAGCTAGCCAGCTAGACAATTTTTAGTTTAGGAAACACAGTGTTACGCTTTTCATAGTACTTCGAAAGTTCAGATGTGCCAACCTCTCAACAAAATCATCGTTTTCGATGATTTTCAATCAAGAATTGCCCACAAATCAACCAATTCTTTTGGTTTTTTCCCGCGGCTCAGTTAAATTTAGACAAATATCACAAAATAGAGGCATTAAATTTGCAAGAAGCAAATCAGGAATGATTTGGGGGGCACAGATCGCTGCTCTGCTCGGCTTTTCAGAGAATTCAACTATTGGCTCTCAAAATATTGAAATTATTAAAAAACTTCTGATGTGAAACGCTTCAGAAAATTCTATTGCTTAATAAAAAAGGAAAAATAAGTAAATACAGCGGGAAATTCTTCAAAATATGTGCAAATGCGGCTAATCAACGATTCTGGTGAGAGGTAAGAACCGCTGAACTTTCGAAGTGCTATAAAAAGCGTAACACTGTGTTTTCTAAACTAAAAATTGAAATTGATCGCAGAAATTAGGGTGAAATTTGATATAAATCTGAAATTAGGGGAATCGGATAATTGGGCGTCGAGTTAAAGTCGAAAAACCGAGTTTGAATGATTGTGCGTCACTCTGTAGAGTATAAAGTGTCATCCATTTTGTCTCCATCTTGCATTCATCTTACAGAAAGTCTTGAACCAAGCGTAGATTTGATAAATATATGCATTAAATGAATCTGAATCATTCAATGAACCTTATAAATCCAAAATGGGGATCTATCTACATCAATAGTACCATTAGTTTATTTTTCCTCACCCGTTCTCCTAAATATTTCAGGAACTCGTCATTCTCGGAGTGAAGGAAACGAAGCGGATAGTAGACTGAAAATTTTAGAATTCTAGAGCTTTTTATGTCACTAATCACAAGCACTAAGCATTTATGTTGTTTTAAACTTTCAACTTGTACAGCTGTACTTGTACTGTGCAGCTATTTTAAAGAGATCGAATGCTCTTTTTTGAGGGTGTGGCTGAAAAGATCAATCAATTTGTCTCAATCTCTTTTAGGCTTTGAGAAAAAATCGCTAATTATAAAGTGACTGCCGAAAAGCTTTGGCAATATATATAAAAAACAGATTCAAATCCATTCAAACCAAAATTTTTGTTGCTTTCCCAGTAGGTATTTGTTTCAAAATTTATACCCGATCGAAATTTGAAATTGAAATTGAAATTTAAAAGTCACAATAATATTTTGGATGTTAAAATTTGGCAAAAGAGTTAACTTGTATTCTCATTGCTAATAAATGATATAAAATGTTATTTTCTAAGCCCGAGCTAAGCCTAAGCTAAGTCTAAGCCTAAACCTAACCAAACCCAAATAGACTTAGTGCGATGCGCTAGCCGCTAGCCTTCGCACTAAGTCCAAGCCTAAGCTAAACCTAAGCCTAAGCTAAGCCTAAGCTAAGCCTAAGCTAAGCCTAAGCTAAGCCTAAGCTAAGCCTAAGCTAAGCCTAAGCTAAGCCTAAGCTAAGCCTAAGCTAAGCCTAAGCTAAGCCTAAGCTAAGCCTAAGCTAAGCCTAAGCTAAGCCTAAGCTAAGCCTAAGCTAAGCCTAAGCTAAGCCTAAGCTAAGCCTAAGCTAAGCCTAAGCTAAGCCTAGGCTAAGCCTAAGCTTAAGCCCTAAGCTAAGCCTGCAAGCTGGGCCTAAGCTAAGCCTGCTAAGCTAGGCCTAAGCTGGCCTAAGCTAAGCCTAAGCTAAGCCCTAAGCTGGCCTAAGCTAAGCCCTAAGCTCAAGCCTAAGCTAAGCCTAAGCTAAGCCTAAGCTAAGCCTAAGCTAAGCCTAAGCTAAGCCTAAGCTAAGCCTAAGCTAAGCCTAAGCTAAGCCTAAGCTAAGCCTAAGCTAAGCCTAAGCCTAAGCCTAAGTCTGAGCCTAAGCCTTTAAACTTGAAATTTAGGCCATTTCTCGGTGAGCAAATCGGTTTCACTGGTGTCCCGCAAGCTCAGCCTAAACCTAAGTTCAGCCTAAGCTAAGCCTAAACCTAAGCCTAAGTCTAAGCTAACCCTAAGCTAAACCTAAGCTAAGCCTAAGCCTAAGTTCAGCCTAAGCTCAGCCTAAGCCTAAGTTAAGCTAAGCCTAAGCTAAGCTAAGCCTAAGCTTGTGCACATTTGTGTGTAGTTCTTCTAGTTAGCTTACTTGAAGATTTCTATTTAATCTCAAAAATCACCAACCAGGATCCGGTTCGATTGCCTCAATTGATGAGATGTACAAGAGAAAAAGCAACAAAAAGGAGACGATTTGATCGATTTTTCGACTTCTCGTCATCGAATGATCATTATCGGGAAAAGGAACTAAAATTTAACGATCCTGATTTTTTGATACCAAAAGTGTAGTTGGGAATACATATAATAATAATAAATAGAGGCTGAGAGAAAGAAGAAGAATTTCTAAAGCTTCCGAGAAAAAAGAAGAAGTTCTAAGGCTTCTAAAAGTCTAGCTTCTAAAAAGAAGTTAAACAACGCGATTGTACAAAGAAGTGGCGTTCTATTAGAGTATTTACAGTAGCTCAAATATATATATATATAGATACTTTATTCAGGGTCTGAAATAAAGTGCGCTAGATTTAAGACTAATGCACACGAATTCATACACACAAGACGAAAAGGCGAAAAGGCGATAAAAAGCAACACGATATAATGTATGTAATAGCAGAGGTCGTACAGATAGTACAGATAGCACAGATAACCTCAAGGATCCACTAGAGCTTCAAGATCAAGATCATCTACAGATAATTCAAAAGTTTCGAGACTATTGGACTCTCTCAAAACTCTGGGGAGTCGATTCCAGATTCCAAATCCAAATTCTGGCATTTCTTATTGGAAAAGAGTTCTACACAAACTAATTGGAGGTGACTGGATATTGTAAAAATGCTTAAAACTGTTTAAAACTGTTTAAAAGTGTTTAAAACTATTTAAAACTATTTAAAACTGTTTAAAACTGTTTTAAAATGTTTTTAAATGTTTAAAACTGTTTAAAACTGTTTAAAACTGTTTAAAAATGTTCAAAAGAGTTCTAGAAACATGAAAATCACTGAAAAATTTAAAATCCAAAATCAAAACCAATAACCAAAGCCAATAACCAAAGCCAATAATCAATAATATTTTAGAGTTAACTATGCGTGAAAGAAACCCTTCAGTTTCTAAGGGAAATTTTTGACAAATGAGTGCAAATGAGTGTCACTGAGTGGGCGGGGATTTCCTCGAAAATGGCGAAAATCATCAAGGACAGTCAAATATATTGGAGAAAAACGGGTAAAAAAGAACAGAAATGAAAGAAAAGAGGGGAATTGCAAGAATTTGAGGGAATTCGTTGACATGTTTAAGGTCGAAAGATACAAATTTGGCAGCTTTTCAAATATTGAATTTCATCTGGGAAGCCAACTCCTGTAAATAGCCAGCCAGACGAAAACAGCCGAAAAACCGACTTTTTCTCGGCGCTTTGGGGCTAAAGCATAGTTTGATCTCTCGAGTTAAAGGGGCAATTTGGTACTTTTCCAATATCGGGGGAGCGGAAGGATTATCGGGGGAGTGAAGGGAAAATCGGAGGAGCGAAAGGAAAACCGGGGAGCAAATTTTGCCCCCTCGAAAAATGCATTTCCGGGACTGTATTTTAACTGCAATGCTTTTTTTTAAACTTTAACGACGATGCGCTTCTCCGATATTTGTGCTTTCAAGGAATTGACGGCAATCGATTATTTCGTCACCAAAGGAGTCATCCAGTCGTGCATTTGCAACCGTGGCGAATCGATGAAAGTCCGCTCAAAGGGAAAAGATCTATTTCGCTGGGTATGTGACACTTGCGCACGGCGAAAGATCCCCAAGCATTCAAGAGGAATTCGAGTCGATAACTTTTTGCAACAAAGCAAGCTCCCGTTCGTCACAATTTGTAGCGCTGCCAAAATTTGCTTCCCCGATTTTCCTTTCCCCCGATAATCGGACCGCTCCCCTGATATTGGAAAAGAACCGGCAATTTGCATACTTCAACTCCATGCCTGAAAACGTTGTCTGAAAAAAAAGCTTTGGAACGGACGGGAATCGAACCCGGCACCCCCTTGAGGGCAATCGTTTTGTAGACGAGACGCTAACCGCCTCGACCACGCCCCCCGCCTCCGCCGAAGGCAAAAAGAAACATGGTTAAGTGGTTTTTCTGACTTTTTTACCATTTCTTGATGGAAAACTTATTTTAACCAAAAAGTATTCACCTATTCATTTTTAATTCCCTATCGATCAAAAAAAAGTTTGTCGAAATCGGTTCACGGGAAGCCGAGATTTTCGTATTTCATCTTTTTCAAAGCGTCCTTACTTTCAAAAATTGTTTTGATACGTTTTTGATATCGCAAAAAATAGCCCTGGATCTCAGCTATTTTTGATACCCAAACGCACATTGTAGCTTAAACCAGTGTCGAGAAAAGCGCGTCCAAAGCTAGACGCAGTTCTTTTGCACCGTCATTATGGCGTTTTCCCTCTCTTTTTTTTTTACGATTTTTTCTTTCGTTTTCCCCCTTATATAAACAAAAAAAAAAAATAATTTTTTTTCCAAATAAAAAATAAATATCCTTCAAAAACCCCAAAAAACACATTTATTAAAAAAAAAAATATTTATTTAATTTTTTTTTTTAAATTATATAATTTCTTTTTTTATTTCATAATTTTACTTTTTAAATTAGTGTTTTCCAAATTTTTAATAAAAAAAAAATTAATAAACCCATTTTAAAAAAAAAACAAAATTAAAAAAAAAAAAATTATATTTTTTTTGTTATAAAATATCATTTAGTGATTGTCCCCCAGAAAACAAACAAAAAAAAATATTTTTTATAATTAAAAAAAAAAAATAAATTAAAAATTATAAAAAAATTTTTAAAATAAACAAAAACCCAAAACCCCCAAAAAAATCAAAATTGGACTGAAAAAAGATAATAATTATTGGACCCCCCCCCCCCCTTCCCCCCCCCCCCCCCCCCTTTTTTCCCAAAAACAAAACAATGTTGACCCTCCCTCTTTTTCTCCCAATTTTATTAATTTTATAAATAAATATTTTTTAAATATTTAAAAATATTAAAAAAATATAACCTTATTTTTAATCCCTTCATAACTAATTTCCCAAAAAAACACTGACCCAAATAATACTTTTAGATTTAAACCAAAAAAACCAAAATTAACCCATTTTAAAATTACAAAAAACCAATAACCAAAATTAAATATTTTTAACCTTTATTACCACAAAACCCCCAATTGCCCACATCCAAACCCCCCCGGGCCCCCCCCACAACACAAAAAAAATCATACCAAAATTTAAAATAATTTTTATTTATTTTATTTATTTCTCCCTTCCCCCTTCCTTTTTTTTCCCTCTTTTTTGGCCAAAAAAAAAAAACACACACACACCACCCCCTTCCCCCTTTTTTCCCCCTTCCCACCTCCCCCTTTTTCTTTTTTTTTTTCCTCTCTGTTTGGGTCCCCCCGGTTGACCAGTTATTTTTTATTTTAAAGTAAAATTTTAAATAATTTAAAAATTAATTCAAAAATTTAAAAAAAAAAATAAAAAAATTAAAATTAATATAATTAAATTATATATTTTTAATTTATATTTAAAATTATTTTATTAAAAAAAATTTTTTTTAAAAAAATTAAAAAAAAAAATAAAAAAAAAAAAAAAAAAAAAAAAAAAAAATTTATTTTTAAAAATTTTTAAAAATATTTTTTTATAAATTTTTTTAAATTTATATTTAAAAATTTTTGTAAAAAAAAAGGGTTTTTTTTGAATTTTTTTTTTTTTTAAAAAAAAACGAAAAAAAACTTTTTTGAAAAAAAAGACCTTTAAAAAATTTTTTATTTTTTTTTATAAAAAAAAAAAAATTAAGTTTTTTTTTTTTAAAAAAAAAAATAAAAAAAAATATTTTTAAAAAAAAAAAAAAAAACTGGAAGAATTAAGTGGAAGAGAAATAATCTGTTTGAATTGACTGAAAGTACGATTTGCTAGCAGAAAGCCAATATCCAATAGCCAATAGCTAACATTTATTTCAATATCAAAATATCACTATTGCTTTTAATTGAGCAAATTAGTTGAGGTTCGTGATTGAAAGGCGATCGAGATTCCTTTGATTCGTGATTGATACCACGAGTTGAGCGAATTCCCGAAATTCTTCAAATCACACAAATAATCTGATCTCTTTCAACGACAATCAGTCAGCCGTTTCTCATGAGAAGAAAAGTAAAATGTTGTAAAATTCGTTCCAAACCGATTTCGGGTGATTTATGGAGAGAAAAATGGTAAATGAACTTTTTAACACATTGAAACGATTGATTTCGATTAAAATGAATAGCTAAATCTTAGAAATAACTAAATTTGTGCCAGAAATGAGGGCTTAACACGTTCGGGACGATTCGGTTCACCGGTGGACGAAATTAGTCCACCGGTGGACGAAATTGTGATCCACCGGACAAAGTCCCAGAGACAGTCGCTCTACCGACTGCGCTATAGAAGACCTCTATTGCGCGTATCCCAGTAAAACGGTCATAACTTTTTGGGATAAAGTCTTATCAAGAAATGATGTTGATGTTGATCTAGCTGAGCTCCATCCAATAAAACAAAAATCGTGGAAAACCGACCATTGGAGAAAGAGAAATGCGGCGTTTTGTCTCACGAGCCAAAAAGAGCCGATATCTTTTTGAGGCAGCAATATTTTCAAAATCTGATTAGAGATTCGGATTCAGCATGAAATTTTACATATAGGGGGTGTATTTCGGGGCTAATAGCTTTGCGAGTCCACTGGGGCAGTAACGCAAAAAAACGCCTCGTCGCGAATGTTTTAAGAGGCTCTAGAATCCGAATTCGGGCTTAATTTTAGGCCAACAAACTCCTCTTAGTTTATTTTCACAGTTTTATTTATTTAAGTACTCTATTGGAGCTTTAGATTGGCCTCGCGCGCCTTAGACCAGTCGACCATAGAATTCGATGCAACATCATTGAACAACACCCGGTTTTTCCACTTTTTACAAAAAACTATACAACTTCCTAATAAAACTAGCATCGGATTCGGAAAGAGGACCCAAAATTACGTGCTCTTACAAATTTTGAGCTCATTTATTCAAGCTATTCACAAGAAACAGCCGACACTCAGCATTGAGTCAAACGATCTTCGATGAGTCAAGGGATTTCAAAAGAAATTTTGATTAAAGCTTTGATTAAAGATTTCTTTAGAAACACAGCGCATCTGGTGCACTAAACTCTTGAGCTAAGCAGCTCAGCAATGAGTTCAAAAAGCT